TGTACCTTGACTTCGAAATAGTTGAAGGGAATGAAAGGAGGATTACTGTTCTTTTTGAAAGGTGCCTTATCGCATGCGCTCTTTACGACCAATTTTGGACTAAGGTTAGCCTTTCGGAGTTCTTTAAGCTCACTTATCACTTCAAATTTGAGCTTTCAGTATGCTCGATGGACGCAGAAGCAGCATGGATCTGATGCTGCTCGTGAGGTATACCGTCGAGCACAGCAGCATATTCCCGGAAATGTTCGTCTCGCCTTGGCGTTCTCGGCCTTTGAAGAAGCCCTTGGTATGAGGTCTTATCACATTTCACGCGTATTTCTTTGCTCACATGAGCTTGCGTAACTTTAGGCAAATCTTGAACCGTGCGCATACTAAGCCTTTGCTTTTGACCGAAAAAATTTGCAGTTTTCTTTGAAATCCGATTCAGATGCGTGATGCCAATCCAGTTCAGTGATTGACTTATACTGATATTGTTTGTATTTTGGTAACTAAGAGGTTTCACGCTGATAATGATTGGTTCTCTCTTGAGGCGTCACATGAGGGGCGGGGATAGTATCTGTCTGACTACGCGTCTCGGTACGAGCTGGATCTTCTGACAAGAATCCATCCTCGCAAAGGAAGTGATCATTGTGATCTAGTGATTCAATTGAATGCTTGTACAAATTATGACATTAGAGTAAAGTGTAGAGTAGACGTATCCGAGTTCCTGAATCGTCCCTATATGCCGTCAGTTGCAGAATTTACCTACCAGGTATGTAAAGTTTGACTCTGAAAAATAAGGCTTTTTGACTATAATGCAGTATAGATTATGAACTATTTAATTGTTTGAACCGACCTCAAAGGTGATTAATCTTTTGCTATATTGGATTCATTACTTTGGTTCTACAAATCCCTGTCCCTTGTTATATCAGTAAACTCCTCAGGTTAGAAAACTTAGGATTATTATAATATATATATTTATTTATTTTATTTATTCATTTACTTATATGTTTCTTTATTTTTTTCTTGCTTTTTGGTCTCTCTCAAATATTCTAGTCATTTTGGTTGAACAATCATCTTAGCTGAAAGTAGGGCTATGTCTTTGCCACGCCTATCCTTGTGTCTGCCTCGTTTTGGGGAAAATCGGGTAATGTGAAGTCATTCTGAAAAGCCCTCTCTATGTATACTTACGGAAGTTTGTAGGTTTTTCAAAAAAAGAGTAATCCTAGGTTAGTTTGGCAAGATAGTAACGTCGCCAATCGAGGGTGCGGCGGTTGCGGCGAATATACAGCCGGAATCAGGCCAACTTCTTCTTAAGTCGCGCTTTTTTTGAGGATACTTGATTTTTCTCTTAGTAACGTTAAGGTTCTTGGGAGTCGGCACTGTGGAATATGCGACAACGACGTGCAACTACGTAGTAGACTGTGTGCCATACCTATTTGACCTGATGTTTTTCCTGAGCTGCATGTCAACTTAATGCCTTCATCAAAGTGTTCTATCTTTGATATAACTCCTGAGCCAATTT